TAGAATATATTTTATATATATATTTTTTTGCTTATTAAGATTAGGTGCGAGCTCTTTTTGCAGTAGTGCCTCCAAACACCTACAAACGGCCCGGGGTGGCTGCGGTGCGCCCCAGCGCTGTCTCTTCACCTCGCAGCTGCCGGAACCTCCCCCCCCCCCCCCCCCAAAAAAAAAAAAAAAGTAGGATTCAGTTACAGTCTGTGCTCAAATCGATTTTGAAAAGAATTCAGACGGGTATACCGTCACGTGGGCTGCGCTCGGCTCGTTAGGAAACGTTTTTTAAATAGGTGGAAGTATGTATTCGTTTCGTTATGTTGCGTGAGTATCTGTATATCCACCATCTGCACTTGTCATAAAATTAATAGCTCGTGTGCTCCATCTTCCCTGAAAAAAATTACTTGACTTGGGTTTGGCTTGCGCTGGAGTTCTGTCACGGAGGCTGGAAACGAGTTTGGCGAAGGGCCCTGTGCTTGGCTGGGAGGCGCTGAACAGCGCCGTCCCCCAGGGCTGGTTGCAGGTCCGGTGTTGGTGCTGTAACTCTGGGTTGATACCTTCGGCAGCACATGAATGCAGTTCGCCCGTGCAGTTCACCGAACCCACAGTTTTGCAGCCAAAACCACACGCTCTGGTTAAATTCCCCCAGAAAAGACATACTGGCGTTGCCAGCCTACACGGCTCTGCAAGGGTGAGGTGCGAATTAGGAGTTGCAAGCTCCGGAGGTGGAAAACGGAAATTTATGTTAAGTGAAATAATCAGAAATGTGATCAAAAAGCAAATGAAGATTTCTTCAGCTCCTCAGGGAAATGAAGTACAATTCTTGTACAATTAAATAACATACAGACGTTCAGATAGCGACATACAGATAGCAACAAACTAAACTATGAGCTTGCACTTGTGACAAAAATAAAATAAAAGAAAAATATTGGATCAGATTCAGGCTTGATCGTGAGTGACGTGTATTCCAGTAGTGCTTTGGGGCTCCAAGTAAGATTAGTTCCCCGTTTTGCTAGGTCTTTCTTATACATTAGCGCCTCAGTGTAGTTTACTCCACGCCAAAATGTTTTTTCAATTTCACATGGCTATGTAACTGCTATAATTTAGTTGATTCAGTGGCATTGTATGAAAGACGAAGTGCTGTCATTTGCAAAAGTAAACAAAGTGGAAAAATATTTTTTTCTGAGCCTCTTTCAATTAACTGTAGCAATTCTAGGTGTTTCTTGATTATTCCGGTAGCACAAAAACAATACAGAAATTATGCAAGGGTATTTTTCCGTTACTTAATAGGTAACTACACAACTTACCTCTATTACCTGCATATTAAAATGAAAACTTTAATGTGAGCAGAACAACTCTTCGATAACTTCTCCAAACTACCTCTTCATCTGACAGTTTTAAAGATATTTTGACTCTCCTGTAGGTCAGCAAGAAAGGATTTTATGAAAAACAACAACCAAAGAAATAAAGTGTTAAAATACACGGGTAAATCTAGGTTTATTTACTATGGAGTTAATCATCGTTTAAATAATTTATTTTAATTGCTTCGCTTTAAATCACTCCAGCTTTTTTCGTAGCTTCACAACCCATATGCAGATCTTTCAGTCGTGGCCTGACCTTTTCTATTCCAGCTATTTAATTAACACAGTGTAATATTCTGTGTGAATTATTCTTGTTTGCAGGATGTGGTACCATTTAAATTTGTTAATGTAAAGGAGCAGTGCATTGTTGATAAACTGTTGGAAACCAAATTAGCTTTATCTTGCAGCTAGCTGATTGCATTATTTCACTCATGGGAATAATACTTCTCTAAATATGCTAATTTCACTCTTTTCTCCGTGCGGTGACATTTTTACTGTTCTCGTTACTGACATTTGTAATATTTGGGGTGGGGAAATCTTTTCTTGCTTTAACCTCATTATAATGTAGCTAAAGAGATTTGAATATTATCAGATGAAGTTAACTTTTCCAATTGCTTGAATATATATTATGTTGACTCCTGGCCCAGAACCTTAATGCCTGCAACAGGACTTGCGTGGACTTAAGGCACCTAGATCCAAAATTGTGATATGAAAGCCCTTCCATCTGTCAGTCACATGAAATCTCTGTATTCCTGCATATCTGCATTTGTCCAACTCAGGACCCTCTGGAATTCATACAAGGAGAAGTGATGGCCTTAAGCTGTGATAGATTAACGCTGATGGATAAAAATTATATGGCTGAAGCTGTTATTGCTGCCAAGTGCTCCTCCTATCCCTGAGGCAGGCCTGGCTGATCCATTTATGAGTTGCTGCCTAGACTGTGCTGTTTTAAGCCTTGCTTATTGAGACAAACTGAAAGTTTTGACAGGTTTGTTATAACTCAGAGGCTTCTGGAGAGCCTAGCTTGGCTAAAACACACCAATACACACCATAACACACCATAGTTGGTGTGTTAGTTGGTGTGTTTTAGCACACCATGGTGTGCTAAAACACACCATAGTTGAATTGAGAATATAAGAAAGAACTCCTCTCCTCCCCGTGGTAGAACTCCCAGTTCCTAGTGTATTAAGAAGTGCCATTTGCTAACTACAGTCATCTCTTTTCTTAACAGATTATGCTCTTTAGGTGACTTTCTTCAGAGAAATGAGAGAAATCTGGGCATCTGTGTTTTTCTGATGCCTCTCTCCAAACAACTCCTCATATCATGGGTACAGTCTCTCTCATGGGTGCTCTCTGGCTTCCACTCTTATCTTCCAGTTGAACAAGTGGGAGTTGATTGCTTACCCTACAGAGGCTGGAAGCATTTTGGCACAAAAATTGGCAAGACCCCAAATTCATTCAAAAGTTCAGAAGTGGCATTTGGACAAATTTGAATATTCCCTCCAGCCTCCAAAAGAAGCCTGTTTTCCAGTGTTTTCTCTCGACTTCTAGGACTTTAGCTTGAGTTGGAACAATATAATTTCAGAGTTCCCATAAGCAGCAGGAGTGTTGCAGGGAGATGCGGTGCTTCCGCTTCAGAATCACACAGAATCACAGAATGGTTTAGGTTGGAAGGGACCTCTGGAGATCATCTAGTCCAACCTCCCTGCTCAAGTGAAGTCCTCTAGAGCATATTTCCCAGGATCGCATCCAGGCGGGTTTTGAATATCTCCAGGGAAGGAGACTCCACCACCTCTCTGGGCAACCTGTGCCAGTGCTCTGTCACCCTCACAGTGAAGAAGTTTTTTCTCAGCTTCAGATGGAACTTCCCGTGGTTCAGTTTCTGCCTGTTGCCTCTTGTCCTGTCACTTGGCACCACAGAGAAGAGATTGGCCCCATCCTCTCGACACCCCCCCTCCTTCAGATACTTGTACACATTTATGAGATCGCCTCTCAGTCTTCTCTTCTGCAGGGAGGCCTCACCAGGGCTGAGTAGAGGGGTAGGATCACCTCCCTCCACCTGCTGGCAACACTCTGCCTAATGCACCCCAGGATCCCATTGGCCTTCTTGGCCACCAGGGCACACTGCTGGCTCATGGTCAACTTGTTGTCCACCAGGACACCCAGGTCCTTCTCTGCAGAGCTGCTTTCCAGCAGGTCAACCCCCAGCTTGTCCTGGTGCATGAGGTTGTTCCTCCCTAGGTGCAGGACCTTGCCCTTGCCTCTGTTGAGCTTCAGGAGGTTCCTCTCCACCCAGCTCTCCAGCCTGTCCAGGTCCCTCTGAATGGCAGCACAGCCTTCTGGTGTGTCAGCCACTCCTCCCAGTTTAGTCTCATCAGCAAACATGCTGAGGGTGCACTCTGTGCCTTCCTCCAGGTCATCGATGAATACGTTGAACAAGACTGGACCCAGGACTGACCCCTGGGGGACACCGCTAGCTCCAGGCCTCCAACTAGACTCTGCACCACTGACCACAACCCTCTGAGCCAGTTCTCAATCCACCTCACTGCCCACTCATCTAACCCACACTTCCTGAGTTTACCTATGAGGATGAAGACTTCTTGGTTCTCTTTATACCCTCTGCACTCAACGTTTTCACCTTTGAAGGTGAGCCTGTGAGATGTGAGCCTATGAGAGAAACCCATTTTTCCCTCCTCTAGCTTTGATATCTCCTTCCTTTTAGTTATTTAGGAACAGGTTGTCCAGGATCTGCTTTGTTTTGGGCTTGTCTTGTTTGGGGCATCTTCCAATGTGTGTCTCCTGTCCCTTTCAGCACCTTTCTCACCTTTCTCTTTTATTGAGAGGTAGATAGACCTCTAGCTCTAAAGTCATTTAGAGTGATTCCCTTGTACTGCAGGAAGAAAAAGGTATTACAGTACTTGCTTGCGTTGAAAAATCCTCCTGTCAAAAGGAAAGGAAAATAGAAGCAGTAATGCTCTGTTAATGTAATGATCTAGGCATTAGGGAGTTTGTATATGGAAAATTGTATTGGTCTGGCTAGTCACGCTTGTCTGTCATACAGTAGGTATGCTGCGCGCTCACAAAACAGAGTCTACTAAAGACCTAATTGTTGTGAGTAGCTGTTTAGGATCAGATCGGTATGGAAGACATCATGTTTACAAAATCTTGACTGTCTATTTGGAAATGTGACTTTCTTTTGAAGGTAGTTCTGTGTAGAAAGAAGAAACTAAATTGAAAATATTTCTCTGCCTGTACTTTGCTGAATTGAGGCATATATGATTTAAGATTAAATTATTCTGTGTTTTGTGGTCACTGATACAGTGAGACTTGGGAATAGATAAGGTAGCAGGAGTTTTTGATTTCTATTAGAGTATTTCAGCAAGAGCCGTAGTATGGCGATTTGGATGCCTTAGTATAGAAGAGCAAATTCAGCCTTTTGCGATTTCATTGTATTCCTAATGTCCACGGGGTTATCTTTCATTTCTAATTATAATGTATCTGTAAAATGTGCATTTAAAGACTGGAAATAGAGGAACAGTTACTGCCTCTTAACACTAAGCTTGGATTAGTCAGTAGTTGACACAGTGACATTAGTATTTGAGAGGAATCTGAAGATTTCAAAACTCATCTAGCGAAAGGACTTTTCTGCGCATGGTAATAGGTTGAAAAATACTGAATTTTGGAATATTTTGCATATCACAGGAAACTTCCAGATTTCAAATCAGCAGCACTGTCATAGTTGCTTCGAAAATTAAAGGTCACCTTCAGTCTTCAGAAAAGTGAGTGCAACCGATCAGAGCAGGAGTTCCATGCACATCTGAGTGGAGATTTGGGCCTGAAGAGTCCTTGATCTTTTTGTTGAAGATAGTATTTAGCTATTGGTTTTTACAGATAAAGAAACTTTATAGATGGTTGTTATTTGAAAAAGAAGAGAAAGAAAGTCTCTGGCGGGAAGATGATAAAGATAAGTTGACACCACTAACTGCAGCGTGTATTATAAAGTTGAGAAAGATAAACTACTGCATAACATGGCTGTGCCTTTTCAGTAAAAACAGGTTTTTTTGTGTTTCATATTTATATTAAGAAACAGAACTAATGCTAGGGAAATGATTAAGATTGAAAATTAAATCAGAAGAACCTGGTGGTTCATGTTTTAGTGAGCTATGTTAAGTCAAATATGTCCTTAGCCCTACATTACATTAAAGCATGGTTTTGAATTCTTTATATGAACCCCCAAAACATGAGAGTCAAAAGAAAACACTGAAAATGGTTTCTCACAGACAAATTTCCCTTTCATTGCTGGCAACAGGTGCATTGTCAGTGTGTTGTTGTATGAGACCAGAAAGGAAAATGGCAACTTGAAACAAAGGTTAGGCTGACATCTGCTTGCTTTACCCATGCTGAAGGAAATAGAACAGTATAAAGAAACGTAATAAATATTAGCCGTGCTTTTTTGCTTACTATTCCTGTAATAATAATAATGGCAATCACAAGATTTCATGTCCTGATTGTTTACTTTATTTATTGTCCGCTTTGGAAACTTTTCCTGAGGTGTACGTGGAGAGTCTTTCCAATTTCTTTCAATGTAATAATTTATGTCAGTCAAGAATACTTATTTTATTTCTTTTAAAGCACAATTTCATCCTGACAATTTTACCTCTAAGGGACTCTGCTTTGTCATTAACCATACTGTGTATTGTATATATTATAATAACGAACAAAGTCATTTATACTTCCATTGTGACCTCTTTCTGGAACAAGTTTAAAAGACACAGTTGTATTATTTACTATTAACTGCAATATGGAAACACAGTATTTTTTAGGAGATTTCGATTCTTTTGTTGTTGTCACTTTGAAGCTCTTGTCGGTTGTGCTTGCAGCATAGGACAGCAACAAAGGCCTAGATGGTTACAATCTTTGTCAGGGAACTTTGTACAGTGCATTAATCAGTTTAGGAGTAGTGCGCTCATGTTTGCTACTAACAAGGAATAACAAAGAATAAAATAGAAGTGGATTGTATTTAAAACATGAACAAATTATTTTTTCTTAGAAATACGGATGTTAATTCCCTGATGTCCCAGTTTCCTTACTTTAAATCATAGTGTTATATTAATATTAAAGTTTTATATTAAATTTCCCATCTGGTAGGAAGGTTGTGAGACATACATGTGAGTGCTGGTGAAGTACTGGGGAAGAATGTCTTTGCTACTAAATTTGCTCATCAGCAGAGGAAACTCGATGTAATGTACATGCTGCGTGGACCAAAACATGGGTATGTAGCAGCCTAGCTTAAGAAAGAGCACAGTCTGCCCTGTTGGATGGAATCTTTTATATCCCATTGGAATGTTTTGATCAAAGGCCATGGTCTTTTCCTTCAACAGAAAACAAAATTGCATTTATCTGACAAGTGTTGCGGTCTCGCTGTGTTCCAGTGTGCTTTCAGCAATTTTGCCAGTAAACACGAAGTATACAGAGTTCATTGGGAGCTTCACTGGAAGCGTATTTTGTATCACTTCTCTCGTTTGAGCATGTTCTAATTTGCTTGTTATGGGAGGGGGGATTTCAAATGGCATAGGATGCAGACCACGGGGAAAGGAAAGCATATCTTTTACTAGAGGAGACCAGAGGAGATTATTCAAGCTGTTTAATTAGCTGAACATAGGTATGACTACTTTCTAGAAGTGCTGTACAAGCTGGAAGGAGAAGAGACCCTGGGCAAAACCTGCCGTCATTTCTGGACTAGCTTTTTGATAGGAGCCCTTAGGGGATTTACAAAGGAATTTGATAAATTTATGTATGGGATTGTGTGCTGTCATTTAGAGCAGGGAACTGGAAGTCCCTTCCGGTGTCGTATTCTGTTTTCTACCTGTTAGTCTCCCCGTAAGAAGCCTGGTAGTTATTTCCTTTTCTTTGTCACAAGGACAGTTTGAGGTTTGAGGACAAAGCCCAAGCTCTTATCTTAGTTTATGTTTTGAGTCACTCAGACTTACTGTAAGAAAAATTGTGATGTAAGACGCTCCGCTCTGCTGCAGCTGAACTGGAAAGTGAGTGCAAATATAACTTTCTCTTCTGGTCCCAGAATTTTCCTGGGAGACACAACCTGTTTCTTTTCTTTTACTCCGTTCCCTTCTTCGTAGCAGACATTGATGGCAAGGTAGGGTTTGTTTACTTCACAGTCTACCTCAGCGTGCGTGTGAGCATCTGCAGTATAGATGTACCCAGCGTCAAAAAGATAGTAGTAACAATAAATGGTCAAGAAGCAGTACCTAGATGTTCCCGCAGTATATCCTGAAAACGATCTGCATATATTGAGATGCACTCTGCCCAGAGTAGACTGATTTTAACGCATAATACTGTCATCTCATGCAGATTGTTTAAATTTGTTTTTTAATTTACAGGGAGTCAGTGTACTGAAAAACTAAGTCTGACCTCCAACCTAAGTCACTTATTTTTGCTTTGGGGAATTCCCCCCGCCCCGCTTATTCCCACTCCCAGTTGTTGCACATTTAAGATTAGTTGATCTTTTTTTGAGTGACTTGATCACTCTGTACTAATGTATTCAAAAGACTAAATTTTTCTTTTAATTTTTTATACGTTTTTTAAAGAAACGAGGATGATGAAACATAACAGAATTAGAAGAAAACCAATTTGATGACGCTTATACTAAATATATTATCAAGATTTCCCTCTACTCTTTCTTTTAGGAAATTATACCTGTCAATTAACTCTTATGTTTCAGCAGCAGGGTGTTTTGGCAGAAGCCAGCTACCACTGCCACTCACTAATGAACTCTTCTAATTTGCTAAATTATTTTAAATGAATGACAGTACATTTAACTTCTGAACAACTTTGATCAAGTCCACTTTTCTTCAGACTGCCTCCTGGGCTAACTCTTTATTCCCAAGCTCCACTCAGTTATTCAGAAAAGTTGTTAATCAGAAACAAAAAATAATTTTTTCTCTTGGAAGCACAAAGTCAACTGGAAAGTACTTAGTGAATTCATTACTCTGCTTTTACCTTCCCTCAGCACTGAAATCTGGATGAGCTTCGTATTTGACAACACGTAAAGGTGACTAGGGTAGTATGAGTATTTTAATTGGAAGATGGCCAGTTTGCAGTGTAATCACAAGGTGTTACCTTTCTGAAGAACATCTCTGTTTTTAGGCAACTATTTAAGTTATAACGGTAACAAACTGTGATTTAAAACTTGAATCAGTTTTTCAAGTCCTGGTTGGGCTTGCCGTATGTAAAGTCAGAACATGAGACAAATTATTCCTGTTGCTTTTTGGACTGTGTAGGTACATTGTTTGTTGAGCCTCACACAAAGAACTAATTTAACAGTATTTTTTCCCCTTTTGAATGAGAGTACAAGTAAGAAAATGAAAACTCCGATAGAGATTTTTCTTTTTGAACGGAATATGCATCTCTGTCCTCTCCTTCTTCCTGATTTCCCCCAAGAATTTGATCTCTAATGCCCAAGATGTGCCATGGATATTTTGTTTCTTTGGTACACATTTTATTTTTACATATCAATGTCTAAACTGTATGGACAGTATCTATGCTATGTATCTATGCTACATAATCCCAGATTTTGCCTAGGAATCAGTTACCATCAATTTCAGGTACTGAGAAGCAATAGACCAGCTTGCGAGATCTTTGTTGAACTGTGATAACAATAAGTAAGGAAAAGATGATTATTTTAAATTAGGAATTTTCCTGCTGGTACCTCTTTCAAGAGAGATCTTTCCATCTTCAGATATCTCTTTTCATTACCTTTTACTGCTCCTATGTTATATAGTTTTATCGGAAATCTATATTGGCCGTGCTCAGAGTTGTCCAAATTATCGTAATATCTATTTGATGTAGTATTTAATATTTGCCTTTTATCGTGTGCCTTTTCTCTCACAGACGTTTAGATATGCATAACAGATACTGTAGAGAAGGAATTATGTTTAACTGACTGCTATTCTCTCCAAGGAATGCATAAAACCCTGAATCAAGACCCTTAAAAGATTCTTTGCACTAAACCTCCTGGAATCCACTTTTGTCTTTTCTAAAAAAATGAATGTTTGATTATCAAACGCTTTACATTTTTTAAAATTTTTCAAACAAAAGCAGATTTCACTGCTGATTTTACCATGTGTATTTATAAATGATTATTTTATCTATATCAGGAAAAGATATATACTCACTTGACAGTAATTTTAATACTGTTTGAAGGTGGGAAGGATTAGCATCTTACTGAGATGAACCATTTGACTTTTTTCACTGCTTCTGAATTTTGTAGTTAAATGTGTTCCTATGACTGAGTGAAGTGTGGTACATGACAAAAAACTGCAGCTAACATTCAGAAGAGGAAAGGCTGTTAAGTCAAATTATGGGGGTTTTTTTGGCATTGATGCAAACTCTCCCTGTAGCTTGAGCTCTGTGCTTCTCAAAGTATGTTCAATGTGGTTAAAACGGCACCTTTCAAAAGCACAATATGCATGTGGAAATGACATTCGAAAGCCGCACAGAATCAACAGTTGGCTTCAGTGAGCTTTTCTGTCTCTCCCGGTAAAGTTTCTGCTTTTGTAGCACATCCCAACTGTTGACTAAAGTTACATGATGAAACTAAAGCTTTTGCAATAAAATTTGGCTTTACAAAATCTTCCAAAAATGCCACCAATTTCTTGCATTTCTTTAGATTTATATCCTTTAAAATAATTAAATGTATTGCTCTTAAAGCAAAAAACAATTGAGCAATCAAAAGGACAGCCATGTGGTGATAGAATTATTCCTAATTAGGCTAAGTTTATTTTTACTGAGCTGGAACGTCTGAAAGATGTGAGAGGCCAGCCAGCTCCCACATTGTGAAAGCCTCCTCTGTACGATATTATGATTGCGCTGGTCCAAGGTGGAAGAAGTTTTATAAATCTCCCTGGGAGCGTTCAAATCTGGACTTAGCCTTGCCTTGAGTCTTTGAACAGTGTTGCTGAAAAACAGACAAACAAACAAAAAAACATGCTGAGCTTTAACCTATTATCGTGCTTCCTTGTAGCTGCCCCTGCATATGCAGTTGTGCCTACACATGGACTTTCTGCCATGTCTGAACTTGCTCCCTGTAGGTATACTAACCTTTTGCTTGGAAACCCATAGAGTTTTCTTCCTGGGGTAGTGAAGACCATATGGTAAGACATATGGTCCCCGTGAGGCCTCCTTATGTCCCAATTATGTAACATGCTGGAGTGCAAGACGGCGAGCCAAGTGTCATAGCCGTCTCTGTGTCACAGCAACACCATCCCGTCAAGCGTTGCTCTGCTTCTGCGAGGAAATGTCAAAAAACAGCCCAAAACCCAAACTCCCTCTTGTCATTTGCGTCAAGAAACGGGAGCCGTTCTTAAACTTTATATTCCATTAGTATAAAATAGGCAAGGTCTTTATTTTTAAAGCTTTAAGCTGAGTTTTCAAGAGAAGTGAAAGGAGAAATGAATTACATTTTTTCTTGAAGTCAGTGAGAGATGAGACCCAGCTCCCTTGGACTGTATGAAACTGCAGTCCGGAGCGGGACTTGCTGGTTCTCTACTACCTTTCTCCCCACCCATACACTGGGAGGAGCGAGAGGCAAAATTCATACCAGGCAGGGAAGGGAATTTTCTTGTCTTGTATTTATTTAACCCATTGTGCGTGATAGACCATAACCCTCAATTGAATGAGTTAAGATTTGCTTGTTTTGAATGAGCTACTGGGGTTATGGAAACCAAACAGATTTATTAGCTATGTTATGGCATTATATGGATACAAATTCTGGATGAGTTAACTTTAACAGAGGTTAGAATGATGAATGGATTTTTAATGATTTGGAGTTGTAGTCCACTGCGTCAACTCTGTGGAGCTGTTACGTTACTTCTTTTTTAAAACAGGTTTTCCCTCTCAATATGTCCCTAAAGAAAAGTTGTTGTAAAAGTGCTGAGTTTATTTAAGGTTGCCAGCGTTTCAGCTTGACAGTTTCAGTGAGGCATATAAATCTCTGAACAACAAAGGACTAAATTGAGATCTGGGATTAGAATTGTTTTGGATTGGCACAATTTCTTTTTTCTAAAATTCTGTAGGTGAAAAGAATTTTTAAAGCATTTTTTTAAATGTATCTGCTGCTTTTGGTCTCCCTGCAGTTCTTTGATTAAAATCAAATGCATGGGAAACCTATTTGCCATCTCTGACAACCTTCTGCATATTTTGGAAAGAATCCTATATGAAAGGACTGTTACTCATTTATATTCTCTTAACTGGGAATTAACTGTAAGATCTTTTTATTGTTAAGCTAATTTTAAACTATGTGGCTACAGTGGTTTCTTGCCTAAGCTACAAGTAGAAATTCTAAGCATATGCCTACTTTTTTATACTTAATGTGCTAATACACGGCTTTAGATTTTAATTTAGTGTAGGAATGTTCTTTCTGTATTTGCAATAGAAGTCTGACTAAACAAATACTACGTGTGATACATAAAAAATCAACCATAAACAAAGGCAGTGTTATTTTTTAATGTTTTCCATGCTGTAGGAGATGGTAGAACTCTTCATGTATCATAAATCATCTATCTACAGCTGTTTGTTTCTTTACACAGGTGCGGGTGTCAAACCATTTACTCCTGAAAAAGCCAAGGAAATTGTGATGTCTCTGCAGCAGCCTGCAGTCTTCTGTAACATGGTTGATGATTGGCCAGCCCTGCACTGGAATACGAAATACCTTTCTGCGGTGTTGGATGCAAAGACAATACAGTTTAGGATAGGCCTGAAGACAATGGACTTAGGTGAGCTTGAGGTGGATTGGTGTTACATTTCACAACCCTTTTTGTTAGGTTCTACAGTCCTCTTGCCTCTCCGTTATATCATTGTTCGCTCTCTAAGGTATCACTGTTCACCACAGGCTTTGTTTTTAAGATGGCAGTTTTGGCCAACAGTGGGACTCACCCTTCTCTTTCTTAAGTATGTATTCTTAGTAGGAAGTCAGGGTAACACTATAGATAAGAATCCAGAGTCTCAGTGTCCTTTACTTACTTTGTAGAGTATGTGGTTGGTCCTGGTCTTTTATGTGATTCAGATGTTCGCGTGGGCTGAGCTTCACATCCACAAACCTGAGTGCTTTAAAAAAATAGCTGATTAACCAATCTATCTTGTTTTTTTCATCTGTAAGATAAAGGCGATCCTCACCTTCCTCCTACAGGTTTTTTTAGGCTGTGCTAGGTGTCAGTGCTTTGAGGTCCTGTGATGAAAAATGCTATAGAAGTGCAAAACATTAGTAAAATAGCTTGACACGAGTAGAATAATTTCACCTCTAACCCTTCATATTCACTCAAATATCTAAGAACCCACCATCAGAAAAAGGCTAGTTTTGCTGTTGGTTTTAAATACTGTTAACAACTCAGTTGCTGACTCTAGCCACACTGTATTAGTCATGGTCTACCCATGGGCAGACACAGGTTCATACCAGGGAGGAAAGATGTAGGAACCACGTGCTCCAAGACAGCAATCTGCTAGCGTCTTGAGAGGTTACTCATTGTTTTATTCATGCCTTATAGACCCTTTGTCCCCCCGACAGCATACCAAAATATAGTTTGCCATGTGCTTTCTCTATTTTCTCTGAAATATCTTGTCTTCCTTCAGTCTTTTCTTCTCTAGGCCAAACCCCATTTTTAAAAGATGTTCAATGTAAGTCATGTTTTTCTAGACCCCGTTTAGCTATTCTTTCTGTACTCTTCTGAATTTCTTCAACTGAACCACCTCTTTCTTGGAGCATGATATCTGCACAAAGACTCCAGGTGAGGCTCTGCCCATCCCTATGGAAGTGGCAGGATTACATCATGTTGTCTTACAACACTGCGTGAAATTTGCTTGCTTCACAGTATCGTGACCGCGTTCAGTTCACGTTCAGTTTTTGCAAGAGAAGTGATGAAACAGAAAGAATTGTTAGAGGAGGAATGCCTGGCATTTTAAGTTTTCAAAGCATTTTACCAGCATGGATTAATTAATCCTTATGCTATCCCTGGGAAAGCAGGTGTTATTTACTCACCTTCTACACATGGGATAACCAAAGTGTAGAGTTAGTACAAGTCTTCATAGCAGTGTCTCTATACTTCAGTGAGCTGTTCAGTGAGCCTGTTCCTGCACTATGTGTAAAAGGTACCCGATTGCCAACAGGGAAGAAGGTAGGGGTTGCATGTGTGTGACGTTTTCCTCAATACCTTGTTAATATACCTTAATTCTAATAGGCAAGGCTTACCAGTAGAGGTAAATGGATAGTTTGAGTCTCAGTCTCCATTAATTAGTAGGCAGTTTTGTGAGTGGGTGTTCCGACTGGGAGAGCTTGTGATGGGATTGATGAGGTGTGATGTAGGTAAGTGATGGATTGATGCTACCAACTAAGTATATAAGTCATTACTTAACAGTAACTTCTAGTCACTAGGGATAAAGAATGGATTTAAACTGGAAATTGTGTCTTGAAGTTGCATCTGTCTATATTTTGAAGCTTTCCTAAAGGCATCAGTACCTAGGCAGCCATTCAGTTTGTCTCCAGGAACCACCATTATATGCTAATGCAAGCTAGAAATGTCTTCAGGAAGACGGGTAGGGCCTTCAGGGGTTATACTGTAGCTGAATGAGACTTGTGCTACTATAAAATTTTGTATTGTAAGGATATGTCAGTGAAGCCATTAGCCAAGCTATCTAAGAGTCTGAAATAATGTAATGTGCCACAGTCATTTCATGTGCCACTGTCATTTGGAAGATGGTTGATCTTACTGTTGCGTGCTTAACAGTGTTTTTCAGTGAGGGCTTCCATTTCTTATCATCATCATCCAAACGCACGCTGACTTTCCCAGGTAAAATGCAGGCAGTGGTGTGGTTAGAGAAAGCAACAGGAGAATAAAAGTAAAATTGTATTGACATCTCTGAATATTCCTCCGATGTTTAAAACAGATTCATTGCCTTACGACTAGACTGGAACCACCCCTGACACTGAATCGGAAACATGCGCGAGAAATAAACTGTCCTGTTACTTGTAGACGTGTTTTATTGTGAGCATACCATCCCATCAATCTGAAAGGAGTGCTTCAAAGTTTCTAAAACAATTTAAGCCACTGTTAATCTGGAGAGCTCTAAATAATTTGAGACCTCTTACTGTGACAACTTCTCATCTTTCTTTATTGCCACATCTGCAGTCTATGGGGATGGTCCCCCAACTGAAGGTTCCTTAGTATAAAAAAGGGAGAGCAGCAGACAGGGCATCCTCTGTGGAAGTTGGCTGGATTCTGTATTTGCTTCTCCTGTTAGTTTGGACCTTCCTGAGGCATACCAATCTGCAAGGCGCATTTGCAGATGAAACATGGAAAACATGGGAGCTAGCAGTATTATTTGTGTGAATTATTTCTCTGTACCTGAGTTTATGTTTTCGATAATACTGTGTCTGACTACACAAGTCAAATAGAATGTGTCTGTTGGGGGAAAAAAACAGAGGATTAAACATTGGCAGAGATAAGATACCTCCAGAGAAGGGACCTGCGTTCATTAGCAGAACGATGAAGGTGTTATGAATCAGGAAATGCCTACTTATCTAGTTCCTTCCAGGCTAAAAGATTTATTTTTCTGAGGTGGGCTAAAAGGTGGGCAGTAGCTAGTGAAGCTGAGTTTCTGGTGGAAAAAATGCAGCAGTATAGCCTATCTATCCAATGCCATGGCGATATGGAGCGCACCAGGATTCACAAAGGAAGGAGGAAGCTTGTAAAAACAGTTCAGTATACAGACTTTTCTCCTTTTGACTATTTTCTCTGGTTGTGTAGTAAAATGAATAAGCAATGAGTTTGCTGTAGAGAAATTGGAGAGGGCGAGAGGTTGTCAAGCTGATCAGTTATGAGTCACAAGCTCTCTGGAGGAAATTTTTCTTAGAGATGCCATGTAGAGCTGATCCTATCAGATACACAGTTGGATAAAAATGGACTGCAACTTGTACAGCTGCCCAGGAGGCACTGAGCAACATGTTTTACCGTTAAAAGAAAGTGAAGAATTCAAGCCTCAGAGCTTTGGCTTGAGAGGGCCTGCAAAGATGACTATAGATTCAGTTGCTGAATATAAGGCTTGAGAATATAGTAGAAATATTGGAGGCTGAATAGATGTCACGTAAAGCGGAGAACTGAGAGGCAGTAACTGTCGTTGGATGTGGATGATGAGTTTTTTGGTTTGTGAGTGTGCCTGTGCTTTGTTATGAAGTTAAATGGTTATTTCTTGCTTGGATTATTCATTTAATTTTTAATTCCCCAACAGCTGTGAAGGGACATTTGGTTTTCTTTTAAGCTTACATCTAAAGAAATGGGGGAGACAATTCACTTTCATTCTTACTAGAGCTTTAGGATGTTTTTCTGAGGCTATTTTCCTTGTTTATACATTTTCCGTGGAAAGCCTGCATAGCAAATACTATTTTCCTTAGCAGAACACCAGGTGGCATCTGTCAGGACCAGTCCTTAATTAAGGACAGGAGCCGCTGTTGCGCGTAAAGGACTTCCTCTCTCCCTCAGCTTTCAATTTGAGGCTTTAGATGGGAGAGAGAAAGAGTGCCATGCATCCAGATATCGTGTCCTCAGACAGCATTGGTAGCTTACTTTAGACTTGCATTGGCTTAATCTACAACATATTAATTACAAAACATCTTCAACTTTTATTCATTAAGTATTAACAAACTGGTTAATGTTCCTGCTCTCAGCTACCTATTGCCAACAGTTTCACCCTGCTTGCAGTCTATAAATCCATTTTCTAGACTGTCCGAAGACCGTTTTTTTATTACTATTTATTATTCACTAAGTATCCACACTGTACTTGGTACTGGAATAGGTCGAATTTAAGCCAAGAACCCTACCCTGAGGAGGTTACATCCAAGAAGAGAGTCTTGCCTTCCGTAGCTGGAATTTTTGAAGTAAAGCTCAGAGTGAAATGCACTGTGAGCTAGAAAGCGTATTTCTTGCCTTTAAAATACTTGCTCCGGAGTTACATTGGAAAATAGGTAATGTCTTGAGCGCTCTTTGTTCTCATCAAAATAATTCAGATATTGAGCAACCTCCAGTAGTACCTATATCTTTTATCTAATTTTTTCCATCGGACCATCTTTTAGGAAGATGATAGGCATTGCATTAATGCCTGGATATCAGGACAGAGCATTGGACTGCAACACAGTCAGATACACGGCTTTTTTGGTTATTGCAGGTGGTTTGTTTTTCTTCTGTGCAGTTCATGGGTAGGGAGCCGTACACTGCACAGAGCCAGGTTAAATACTGCTGAATGCTGGGGCTTATCTCGCATGTTTAGTTAACGAACTTGACAGTGAAGGGAAGAAAAACCGCTACCTTGGCTACTACAATGGAAAATGGCAAAATGCTAGTGATAAAGTTGTGTAAAAGCAGTTCTCCCGCCCAAAGGGAATAAGAAAAAATGTATGAGACTGTGTGGAAACTGCTGTGAAAACAAAATCTGGGCAGGAAGGAAGGAAGAACTGCTGTGGAACAGTAAAAGAATCCCATTTTTGAACAGCTCTATGCAAGTTGCACAAGGTTAAATTACAGCCCTGTCACTGTCATTCATATAGGCTGCAGTAATTTTTTTCTCCAGTAGTAGTTATAGAACAGTGAGTAATATGTGTGGGGTTTTTTTTAACACTGGGTAAATTTCTTTGAAGCTGGCAAAATTAGCAGTTATGGGAAATGAAGATCTGCGGCTAGCCAGAAATAAAATAACGCTGTGTTGTAAACTACCCTGTAGGCCTTGTGAGTGACCTGACCTTGAGTTGAAAGGCTCTACCAGTCAGCCTAACCAAAGCACGACGGAAATAAAGTACTGCTGGTAAACACTTCTATAGCTGGCAGGGAACACCACGTTATCCTTCTTTAGTCCCAACTGAAAAACAGGGACACAGCTTTTAGATGGATCGTTGACTTGAACGTGACTCCATAATTTGCTTCCCAACTGTTACTTTGCTGATTTAGTTATTGCTTTAGATGGGAGAAGGAAAGATGAACGTGTCCATCTGCACAAGTCCACGGAGAGAAAAATGAAGGCACACAAAGGCACTTGTGTGCACATTTGCAGCTCACGTTTAGGAAGAGAGACTAAGCAAAGTTGTTTAGGGAACTTGGATATAGGAATGAGTTACTGTGCTTTATGCTGCCTTGCACATGAGCAACAGTAACTATTTGTGTACTCTTAGCTCACAGCAAATTCAAAGTCACAGTCATTCACTTAAACCGTAATGAAAAAGCAATAATCCCCGACATTAATTATGAGTTACATGATGAGAACCATTTAATAGGCCAGACACAAGCCACCTAAGTTCCCCTTCAGATCTCATGCTGTATTTAACGAGAGCGGTGAGAGAAACTATGTATTATTTTTATTGCTTCTGCGTTCGGTGCTTGTGTAATATTTGGCTTTTCTTATGTTGCTCTAGTTCCCCAGTTTGAAACTAGGTGTAGCTATGTGGAGGCTACGCTTCAAGAGTTTTTGGCTTGGAGTTGTGGACAGCCTTCCTGCCTCTTTGGACCATTCCGTTGTTATGAATACGCCAAATATTGGGCTTACGCTGACTACAAATACATTGCCAGGTTATTTGAAGACAAGGAAGAAGTTTTCCAGGTAAATCATTAATATTGCCTCTTTCCGATTTAAACACTGCAAATGATAGCTTTTAAAACCTCTACTGCAATGCCCTCTTTACACCTGTGGCCATTTATTTTAAAGTTTTGAAATGAAAGCTATTACTTAGCTTTCAGTGGCAGCCATCTAAACTTCTGGGTCTACTTACGGGCCTAAAAACAGTAGCACAAATAACAAAACAAATTATTTAAATTAGCAGCACTCCCTTCCCACTTCACCTTGCCTCATCCTGTGCCTGGAGGGAGGCCTTTAGGAGTAGGGTCAGGGAACATCATCGGCAGCTGAACGACTTCCCTGCACCTCTTCTGAAGGTCTGAAAGTGAAATGGGACTAGTATGTTGAGATGACAAGCAGCTGGCAGGTCTAGCATGTTGAAAACGCTAGAGCCTTGTTGTCGCCCTAGATCCATCTTGTATGTGAGCGGGGTTGTGCTAACTTCCATACAGCTCCGCTCAGCAGAGAGCATGTGCTGGGTAGGATGGATTCACTAGCAACAACAAGGCTATAGTGTGGTTTTCCTCCATATTTTTCTCCTGTGGGTCACTTTCTCAAGTAGCACAGTCCCTTAAAAAGTTTAGATCAAATGCTTGTGAAGAGGAGTGATTCCAAGTCTGCAGTATTATTATACCTTGATTGTCCATGGAGGCAGTACAATATATGACATAACTGACCATGGAAGTACATAATCTATGGTAATTTTCAAATGCACGTATAGGACACATAGCTGTGTGGGTTTTTTTCTTTTATTTCCTTTAAGGCTAACTACTGTTTCAGTATATTGATTCATCTACATCCCTGCTGCTTCTCCTTGCAAATTGTAAAAGAGCAAAATTAAGGATAGCTATACAAAAGGCATATTTTATATTAAGATGTGAAGAAGGAATAGTAAATGAAGCCTTGCTCATTTCCACACTTTCAAATATGAAGATGGAATCATAATTCTCTGCAAATACTATATCGTCAGGATGGCAGGGAGCAGGAACTGATAAGCCCCTTTGAATTAATTTTTTCCTCAGAAAGCATTTTCCATGCTCCTTATACATATTTTATTCTTTTGTAATAGTGAAATCAATATTTTTCAGTGCTCATTCTTTCTCAGACTGTCTCCTTTCCCTTTGTTCTGTGGGTCAGAGAGTAAGTTTTGGGTGCAGAGACCATCATACCTTTTTTTTTCCCCTCCCTTCTGAAGGGGAAGGCGTACACTGAAGACGTGACTAGGCTCCCGTGTGTGCTGCACAACTCGGATGCTGGGCTGCTTTCTTTAAACTAAATTCAGAGCTCCAGCAATGTGTAAGGCCTCCCCAAATCTTTGAATGACTTCCCCTGTCTATGGTCCTGCCTTGGCTTTCTCTCTTCCTGCCTCGAGAGACAGCATTTTCCTTTGGTTTGTGGCATAAGACCGTGAGGATGATAGCAGCTCGAAAGACCTGAATAGCCTGCTGCTTCATCCAGTCAATAAAAGCATACTTGAAGGAAAAAAACATTTTCCTATACCTCCTCCTTCCCCTTGTGCCTATTCAAGTACAAAATTGAGGCTCTAAGAATTGCATTTATGTGCAAAGCCACAACCTCATCGCCCTGACTTATAACAAGCAACAGATTGTCCTGTAATTTTAGAATAGACATGCATAATGGTTATGCCATGGATTTTTTTTTAAAGCAAAATCTGGGAAGGAAAAAAATCAATAGTGTTATGCAAGCAAATATGGTGCATGTCATCTGCCAATTTCACAGGCATGGGGGTGAAATTCATCAGCTCCAGACTCGTATGGATTTGGAAACACTGCTACACAATTTATATCAGCCAAAAGAATTCTGTGTAGAAATTCTTGTGTGAATTTGATGGTAACTCTTTTTTTTTTTTTTTCATTTTAGATTTTATTTAGATTTACCTAAGGTGACTTGAAGGGGAAAAGAAGGCCAACTGCACTGTTATTTATAGTGATTAATAGGGCCATTTAGAAGTTGTTTGAAATTTAGATTGCACTGTTTATCATTTACAGTTGTGTGGGCTAAGGTAATGATTCCATTATTCTAATCTACGAGCAGTATTGAGCATCTTACATTTTTTGTTCAGTTGATATTTCATTACAGAATTTGAGATATAAATCAGAAGCAAGATATATGCATGAAGTTTAAATAGAAATGAGACCTTTTAAAGTGACATACGGGTACAGATTAACTTCATTATAAGCAGCAAATGAAATAAATATAATTCAGAAGTAATGTGCCATCTGTTATGGTTGGAACACCTTTTAGTGCATTTCTTCTTGCTGTGGCTTTTTATCGTAGAAAAGGAGCCCACTGTGACAAGATTTCAGTAACCCTACCAGTTCCTTTTCAGTTCATTGATTAAAAACTGTGTTACCCATAATCGCTTCCACTATTTACTACAGCTGCAGCGTTTTCAAAAAGTTCTTTTAAATCTGATACTGATTGTGTGTGCTTTCTTTCCACTTACTCGTAACAAAAATACAGAATTGTAACAAAATACAAAAACTGTTTAGATGTGAGATGTATAGAAAGTATAGAGATGATATTACAACTTAACTTTATCACTGAAATAGTTGTATTGGATTTTAAATTTTATGGCTGCTGAAATCTGTAGGAGCAACTTTTTCTTTGTGATTTCTTGCTACTTTTGACAAATGTTTATATTAGACTTCTGCATTTTTTTCGAATGATATCTTTAAAATCAATAGCTCTGAAATTTAAAATCTTTAGCAATACCTAATCTTTGGAAAGGCTATCACTCACTTTGAGGGTTCTCTAATACAGAGTACATAGTGAAGTCATTCTTACAATAATGTCTAGCTGTAATTTTCCTCATCCATAGCTCTTAAAAAGGGATAGTCACCCACCAGTCAGCAAGCAGCTAGCTTACATACTTAAATTAGGAGAACAGACACCTGTTTTCTTTTTATAGGCAGTGGAAGGAGAGAGGCTGTTCTAAAGGGTGACTGAGAGAGCTCTGACGAGAGCAGGAGCCAAGCTTAAATTAGGTTCCTGAAGTTAGGTGATGTGAATGACCCTGAGAGTGCTTTACTGAAATGGAACCAATATCATTATCTTCCTTTTCAAGATGGAAAAAGTAAAGCTCAGAGATGAAGTGGTTTGCCTGAGACCATCAGTAAGCCAGGAATTGAACCTTGGCCTCCAGAGGCACAGTCTGGGGGTTCAGCCAAAAGACCACAATATCTCAGTCCGGTACACTTGAAATGCTTTCCACTACACACGTGATCAGGCCCTGCAGGTTGCAGGGTGAGCGGTAGAAAGGTGGGAAAGCCTTATCCAAGCTACGCAGAGCCGGTCCACAAAACCTGTTCAAGCTCCTAGACTATCCCGGCAATACCTCCTTGTCTCGCATTCCGGTTCTCATCCCCAGGGGATTGCTCATGGGAGGATCAATGTACTGGAAAGCTCCAGAGTCGTATTCATAATAGATGCACACATGTTCTGCCCTTTCTCCCCATGCAATCGAGTTGCTTTTAAGTTCACTGCCACCACGATTGCAAAGGCAGGAGCAGAATGTGTCCATTATGCAGTATGGAACTTAGAAAAATTGACGTGCCACTGGGTCAGAAATGAGATAAAGTCTGTATGGAGAAGGCTGAGATAGTGCTTTCGGGGTAATGAGACAGAGAGCAAATGTGCCACAAGGCTTATCAAATAGGTTTGAAAAGGGGGTGGAGATTTTTCATTCCTTTCTTTCTTCCTCTCTCTCTTTTTTTTTTAAATGTATTATATCAGAATTTATCAGCAATTCTGAGCTGGGTTGGATGCCTAAGAGTGGAAAGAAGGAGGGTTTAAAAAGAAGGAGAAGCAGCCCTGTGTGGCCACAGAGTGCTTGGGCAGTCCTTCTGTAGCCCAGGCAGGGTAACTCGAGTGGTCTGAAAGACTAGGATGAGAACTGGAGACAGAGGTCTGGGACTGTGTGCAGTCAGGCTGGGAAAGCAGAAGAAGTCCTCCTAGAGAGGAGAACTTGGCAGGAAGGGGAGCAGGTATCCCCACCGAGGAGTAACCGCTGAAGAGATGTGGAGGCAGAACGCAAGACGACCGGAGAACTGATGGTAAGATGGGAAACTTTTTAACTGCTTATGTAAATAATCTTTTCTTTGCTGTAGGATATAAAGTGGTCCGACTTTGGTTTTCCTGGAAGAAGTGGAAAAGAGAGCACACTCTGGATTGGTTCTGAAGGAGCAAACACTCCGTGCCATTTGGACTCTTATGGTTGCAATTTAGTGTTACAAGTACAGGGAAGGTAACAAACATCTGTGTTATACAGAGGAAAACTATACAGTGCTATAAAGTGAATTAGTTCTACACTCTTGAATGGTAGTTCTAAATCCTGATTATTTTAATTTTCTCAGCTATCAATGATTCAAGAATATCAAAACTGTTCTATGGGAAATGGCAGAAATTTGGGAGGTTGGAGTTTGATTGGGGTTAGGAGTTAACATGTAATTTTATTTTTTTCTACTTGAGGAAGAATATTCTTCCTAATCTGTGCATTATATGTGTCCAATAATAAGTATTTTAAGCTTCCTAGTGGTTATGAATTTGGGAAGTCGCAATTAGGAGTTAAAAGAGTTTAAAAAAAAAAAAGAGAGAGAGAAACAAAGTAGAAATAAACCACTTTCAGCTTTACGATATTCTCTGTACAAGAGCTTCTAATAGCCTGCTAGAATTAATTTAAAAGGGGAACATCAGGATGGGAGCAGCCAACTGTGAGCAAAGTTAAAATGGACACTTGAGGTTCCAAACTCATTTTTGGGCATGTGTCTTTGTTGCTATTTCTTTCTGCCTGTTTGCAAACTGTCTGTTCCCCCCCCCCTTCCTTTTTTTTTTCCTCCTTTCCCTGCATATTAGCCTTGTTTTTTTTTTTTTAAATTGATTCTATTAAAGCTAGAGTAACAAAGCAAGTTGCATGTTAGGTTTGCTAGTATATAAGGGAAGGAATAATTTGCCGGTGGGATTTTACTGTAGTTAATTATTCTGATGTGATTTATAAAACAGTAAAATCATGGTTGCCTTGTGATTAAGGTGCAGGACTGGAAGGCAGGCAAGCCTGGTTTCCATGCTGGGCTCTGCCACAGAGTGACTGGTTTTAAGGCCCGAGGCAAATGAATTTGTTGTCATCTTATCTGTAAGAAGGGCAATTCTGTTCAGCTCTCAGGTGGGTTTTCATTCATTTTTGTGACTAGCCCTGAGATCCTCAGGTGGAAAGGGCAGCAGAGACAGTCTGGAAGCCCCACCCAAAATTGTGCTTGTTCCCGTAACCAGTCCCATGGACTTCAGATCACATTAGTAAGCTTTATGCATCAAAGTCCAGACTCTTAAATATATTTTAAGAACCAGAAATCTCACTGAAAACCGTAAGGCTTATGTGCTTAAATATCTTCTAAGGATCTGCCTAAATACTGGGTGTGCTAAGTACAGTGATCCAGCAGACCTGCCCTGCCTTTTTGATCTCTACCTTCGGGTGTTGAAGTTGAGCCACAGTGCTAGGACTGTGTTGCAATTTTGCCTGCCTTCCCAAGGCACTTCCCTCCGTCTGGTAGGACAAAATCCTTGTTCTTCTCAGAGAAAGAAGCTTAAAGCCTTTGCATGGCCTGAAAAGACAAAGCTGTTTTCCTCTTCAGAGCAAAGCCTATAAATAGATTGCAAACTTATACAAGCTTGTGAATCCTGTGCTGCTTCAGAGCAGGAAGAACACCTTTTGAGACTCACAAACAAGACGAGCTTTGTAACAGAAAATGAGCTTATGCTGAACTTAAATAGATTTGCCTTTGCAGGAAAGTCAGGGTCCACTCCTTAGCCCTTCATTATTATCTTGAATTTCCTCCTTGCATCCCTCAGGTTTCTTAATTTTTTGCTTCGAGGTATTGCTCTGTCATGAGCCTGCAGGATTAACCCATGAGCCTCCTAACCTAGTTATTCTCCTGAGTATCTGGTTTGGAGGGCAAATATTAAAATTGCAATAGAGCTTGCATTTCAGGCCAACTATTTATCGAGTTTTCAGCCAGCAAAAGCTTTGGTAATTACCAAGAAACGCCAGCAGCCTATGGCACTTTCATCCGTGCCAATTTCTGCTGTTCTGGCTATCCTACTCTTCCTGTCTCTTCAGTTTTTGTGCCATGTGGCTGCCTTTCTCCCGTTTTCGGATCCATGGCTTAAAACTGACAACTAGAAGCAGTAGGCAAAAAGCAAGAAGTGAGTACTAAGGAAAGAGACAAAAAGAAAGGACCTAGCTAGCATCTGAAACAAAAAGGTGAGCTGCACAAATTGTCCAACGGTGCTGCAAAGTACTGCCTTTATTTTTCCGTTGCTCCGTACATGAGTCTCTGTTATACTGATCCTTGTAAACGAAATAGAGGTATTAGCTCTTGAGGACACAGTCCATCCTTCTGTTCTGCTTGGCCCTGCACTGTGGTGCATAGACCTGTTCCTTTGGTCACACAGGAAAACAGCCTGGCACAGGAGTGCCCTCATGAGCAGCATGACCCTGTCCTGCTAGAGCTGGTCCCAGCCCAGGGGTTTCTCAATGCCAGTGGCTCACATGCACCGTAGTTTCAGAAGGTAGCGCTGACAACACCAGGAAAAATTGGGTGTTTTGGAGTGCTTATGTCTGTGGATCTCTCTGTTTTTATGCCATTGTCATAACTGTGGCGCGGGAACCTCAAGGTGAGTTTTACTAAGAGTAAGGGTTTGTGGCTAATAGATGAATAGGGGTAATACACATGATAATAGGAAACAAAAGATCAAGTTCACGCTTTACTATTACCATCATAAATACACATTGCCCTCCTTTTACACATGGGTACTGCACCTTTTCATTCAGTGAACAAAAGACTTTTGTCCCTAATGAAACTATTTTCCTTGGTTTGTAGGACAGTTGACTGGTTTTTAATGGCTCTCTGAGCATCTGTAAATGCTGCATGTTGCTCTGCAAAAGGGAGGAAGAAGGAACCAGCTGGAAGAGCTGTTTTAAAATTATTTTATCTGCCTTTTAAAAATAATTGATGAGAAGCTCTAAATTTTTCAGTTAAAAATTAAAAAGTGGAAGATTTTAAAAAGGCGTTTAGTAGACAGCCTGTAAGCGCTGCCTATGGTCTCACTGCATAGGAGAGTCGCACAGTGAGGCGGATTTATGTTTTATTGAAAACCTTGCTATTGCCTCTAGTTCTTGGCTGTAACTGACATGCACTGGATACATTTTTGTCTTCCCTCTATTTTCAGGAAGAGATGGCACCTCTTCCCACCTGGTGACACCAGTTTCCTTTATCCCACTAGGATCCCTTATGAGGAATCCAGCATATTCAGCAAAGTCAATGTTGCCAATCCTGATCTGAAACGCTTTCCTGAGTTTAGGAACGCAACAGCCCACGTGGTTACACTCAGTCCAGGACAGGTACAATTCACATATATGCTTTACGTTACCTTAAAGCTTTTAGTAAGTGATTTATATTGCTAAGTGTTAGGCAATCATAACAAATTGACTATATTTCTGTCCTTCTACGTTTTGCACTCATGCTTGATACGTTCCTCTCTATACAGGAACTTTCTTAATAACCTGGTTGTTATTTTAATAGCCTTTTACACAGGAGCTGTAAACGTGGATAATTAATTCGGTAGGCTCCCCAGTTCCATAAAAATTCTTGCAGGCACCCCCAATTCCATCTGCTTTGAAGGAATGAAAACTTTCTTGAGCAGTACTCCAGCCTATGTACTCTGAAACCTATATGTTGCATAAAATATATTTGATTAACGAGCATATAGAGCCAGCAAAGGAACTCATTTATATTTTGATAGTGAGGAATAACCTTCACCAGGGAACACTGGCCCAACTTGTTGCTTTAATAGCAGAATATTTATAGTGATGATACTTGCATTTAGAGTGCATGCCATCCAGAGGTTTCACAGTACTTTACAAGGATATAAGGATATTTTTAACACTGTTTTACTGAGAGAGTCCAGTTAAAAGTGCCTGGCTCAAGTCACACAGGCACTCAGCAGCAGAACGGGGGCCAGACTCAGAACTGTTAATTCTTGGTCTCCTGCCGTTGATAGTGTCCTTGTCTTATTTAATCAACATAGGCTCTATTTAGAACCTGAATTATCCTTTTGCATTCATTCAGCTGTCCTTGTAAAGCTCCCCTAATGTGCGTTGCTCCAACTATGAAAGACAATGGGATTGCCACTTCTAGTACCTCTTCACCATCCTTCTGCCAGATGTTGCCTCCTCTTCTGAGCTGCGAGCTCAGCAACGTGAGAGTTTTCTCTGGCTCCTAGTTGACAAACCCAGCTGCCTTCAACAGTTAAAGAATAGATTTTTTTAACTAGTCCAGCTAATCTTGGGGAAACAGAGTGGGGAGCACCCCTGTGAGCTGGCATTGGAACAGGGTAGTAGTTTCCAACAAGAGGAGATGATGTCTATCAACTGGGAACTGTATGTTCTGCTTGTGCTGTTGCCAATGGAGGGCATCTGATCAACTCTTCATTGTTTGCAGTACGTTAACTCCTAGTCATACTCTTAAAGCAAAATGATTAATTTTGCCATCTGCACTTTGTAAGGTGATGGTGTTTAATAATGTAAAGCACAAAGAACAAATTTTTACTATTGATAAAAATGCCACATCCATTCTGCGTTGCATTATCTGTGATCCCCAGCACTATTTTAATTTATAATATCCATTGGAATGATCAAGTGCGATTGTGAAACTTTAATATGATCTTAATTTTAATTAGGCTTACAGCAATTACAAATTAATCTTGCTAGGAATAAAGGTCTTGAGACAGCTCAGTAATGCAGGCTCTCTGTATTGCCATGAAGGAGATACTGTTTGGCTTTCCAGGGAGAAAATAAGGTAGGCAGTGATGGAGCTGTGAGGTATTGCCTTCATCCATTTTATCAGCAGGTTTTGGGCAGTGCTTCCCAGCTTCTCATGCGGAAGCTTATGGGGCAGCTGGCTGGGGACTGCTGCTGTTTGACGGAGAGGAAAGCAAAAACTAAGAAGAATTCTTCTGTTATCAAGAGAGAGGATCTCTAAATAATGGTTTTGATACAAGCTCAGTTTTGGCTTTCAGATCGAATTAGTACAGTTACTTTAGGATTTGCAGCCAGCTTTGTTCTGCAGTAACTTTTGGATTAGATGCTGTAACAGTACCAGGCTTAAAAATAAAGACAAAGGTGTTCTTAGGTATTCAGGAGAGAAACCACATGTAGGGCAAGTGCAGCTTTGAATATCAAAAACTTAATGTGTCTAATGCCATCTTCTGGTCATTGTGTCTCATTGTGTTTGCTACAAACCATTTTCTACAACCATTTGAGGCTTTAAAGCAGAATTCCTCCATATAACATTGTACCTGTGCATACTTGATTGCAGTCTTTGTGTCCTTTCACTGTATTCTTCAGAGGCGAAGCTCTGTTCTCAATTTAAATAGTTGGCTGACAACTCTAGGTTTTTATAAGATTGCATTCTGTACTTGAGCAGTGACTGCAGGCTGAATTTCCAGAGGTCTTGATGAAACTCCTGGTTATACACTAATGATCTGTTCTGGGTACAAAATATGATAACATTTAGACATCTAACTTATTTAAATAGGCAGCTAAGTGGTTCTAGGATTTGTAGCTGTGCATGACTACATTCACCAAGTTGCAAGTTCGAGTTGTTTCACACAAATATCGAGACTCTTATAAGCATCTGGACCTGGTCACCTGTGTGATTTCAAGGCTGAGTGGTAAGTATGGAGCAGGAGGCTGACTGCTGTTGAATTTGTACTCAAACTAGTGAGTATTCACCCAAAGCATTAGTATTGTTTTATTTGTTCATAGATTTTTGTAATATTTCTAGTAACGCCTGGATTGTTTTCATGTATATACTGCTTGAAAGACTGCAAACAGGACAAAACATGTCTGTTTTAATAAATTCCACCCTTTCTTTACCTTTCCTCATATCTCTGGGACAGATGCAAAGAGTTAGAGCAGGATCCATCACCCTTAACTTAAACCCTTTCCAGGACAGATGTCCCATCTGTCATCGGTGCGAAGAACCTAGCACCTACAGGGCAATTCATCCTGCTTTACACAACGTTCCTGCAGGACTCTAATTCATCCCATCTTGTCTTTCTGCACAGGCTGTAAAATGAGCCTACACAAGTAGATGCCTAACTTTTTGGTGATTAAAAATAGGTGAGATGAATCCCACCTGAAAAGGCTGTGAAAAACTGAGATGCTGTATTAGTACAAAATCATTGATCATTTTCTCCTCTGCCCCATCTGTCACCTGCTTCTTGCTTCCTTCCTGCTCATTAATGTAATTGTTCTTAATCCATCTTTCTCCGAATCCATCTCCATGTCACTAGACAACGGTAAAAAACTGTAGAAAGTGCATCTCAGCTAATCCAAAGGTAGACACATGAAGACTCCACGTATCCACCCTCCTAATGGAGGGCAGGCACTTTATAGCCTAGGCTCACGTGAGGAATGCACTTCTCTCTCACCACCCCAAACAGGAGGGGCAGTGGACATCAGGGCCTGTGCTGTTAGGAGGCAACTCACAGCTGCCCTGTAGCCTGCTCTGCCACTTCATAGCCCTGCATGCCAGAGGAGCTGCAATGAAACTCTAGGCACCTGAGATGCAAGGAAAGGCCTGACTGAGCCAGTCTGGTACTCAGAAGCCCATCAAGTTTGAGAAAGATAGATACTGTTTGAAGCCCATCAAGTTTGAGAAAGCTGCTGTCTTCCAGCCTTGAAAGACATTATCAAGGTATGGGAAGAACAGTTAAAAACAAGTTACCAGCATTTCTGGTTACTTGTGGGGGCTTCTGCTTCTGCTCAGAACTTCTCCTCACTTGCTTTTGCTTGCTTGCTTTTTGCTTTTGCTTGCCTGCCTTCTAAAAGTCTAAAGAAACACGTCTCAAACAAAACCTGTATCCACAACTACTAGTATCACTAAGTTCCTATGTAGAGCAGCAAGGTTTTCACTTTTTGTGCTTTTATTGCAGTAAGTAGCACCATGGGATGCTGCTCAGCAGCCATAGCTCACAGCAGCATAAGCAGACCTCTGACTTCTTTAAAAAAAAAAAAAAAAAAAAAAAAAAAAAAAAAGCACCAGGAGGGTGATGAGAACTTCAGATTGGCCTCAAAGTAGGGAACAGCACAACAGAGCCAGTCTCAATAATCAGGAGAAATATAATTGATATGAAGAGACAGATGTAGTAAGTCAGGAAATACAGTAATTTAGACTTTGTAAAAGGCAATAAAATGTTCCAGCTCAGGGTATATAAAGTTTTTTTTTTAAAGGGACCACAGTGAAAAACTGCTTTTGTTGGAGAAGAGTTGAAATGATTTTAGTTTAAGGAGAATTCAGAGTTGTCAGCAGCATTGTGTATAGTATCTGGTTGAAAACTCTTCTTTGGGGAGGTGAGGAAGGAAGAGAGGATTTTAATGTGCGAGACTACAGAGCTGGTCCCGAACCACCCCGTAGAGAAGGCTAGCGGACAGCCTGACTGATCCTCTAGTTACGAGAACTATCATCTCCGTCACAGAAGAGGTAGAGAAGTCCAGGAGTGGTGCTTATACCATTACTGGTTATTTAGAAAAAAGTCAGCTTAGTCTGCAATGCACAGAGAGCCCGAGAGCACTCCCCCAAAAGTCAAGCAAACCAAAGGTGAAAGCTGCCGGTTTCTGAATCTACTCTCCTGCCTGTTCCCGACCGTCTCCCAATTCCCCAACAACCCAGTTAATTCCCTTTCTGTTCAGAGGGCTTCTCCCCAGAGTACTTCTGCCTTGAGCGGTTCCGGGCTCTACATTTCAGCAGGGGGGAAGATGCTGGGTCATAAGTGAGGAAGGAGCCTGGCCAAGAAGCTGCTTTCTAGGAGCTGGGGACCTCCGAGCTGCCACAGGCACCCATCAGGCCAGGCCATTGACTCGGGTGCCAGGAGTCCAGGGAGCACACCTCACATACTGCTGCCAACCTCAGCTCAGGGCTTACCAAGAGCACTAACAGCAGAGCTAGCTATGCATTTTTTTTTCCATTACCACAGTTGCAAGCAGTTTTCCCCCCTCACCTTTTTCTTCCTATCATGCTCACATTCTTTGGTCCTTCCCTTTCTTAAGGCAGTTACCCAAGCATCTTTGAAGTTTGCATTGCATTTTTGAAGCAATTCCACCTTTGCACTGTATCAAGTTAATTATTTCCATTGAGATTTTAAACTTGTTATGTTCTCTGTGCTGTACAAGTCTTCAGCATTGCTCCACTTACTCTCACAACTATTCTCTTGTGTTTTCTCCTCTTACAGTCCAGGATTTCATTTTTATCTTTTCTGAGATTTCTGTCCGACTTCAACTTCATCTGCTGTATTTGCCCATCACTAGCCTAAATGTTAAAGTTTTCTGATTGGTTGCTGTTTAGATCCTTCCAACCCATACAGCTAGATATACTGAGTAGAAAGCAGGCTAACACAGAATTGCCTCATAGCTTGGACTCATTCGGTCCTGCTTTTGTGCCTCACTTTTCCCTTGTAAAATCTGCTTGCTACATTTTTTCATTTCATTGTGATTTACTTCCACATTTCCCACTGAAATGTAGTTTAAAGTATATTTAAATTTATATCCTATTTTCATAAATATATGGAAGTCCGTTTTGTTTTACTGTGGAGCTGACAGATTTTTTTTTTTTGCTTCTAGCTTGCAAAGCTAGACCCATGAAGAATCCTACTCTATTTCTGTCTTTGCCAGATTATTTTCAGTGTTCAGCTAAGTTCTCCTGCTCCCTTGCTAGCTATATTTTTTGTTTTTAATTACCTTTTCCCATTTCTTCATCTTCCTTAAAGTTTTAGCCCTTTTGCCTTTTGATAATTTCAATTTTCTCTCTGCCATAAATCCTTATTTTAACAAGCTTGTTAAAGATACTTCCTTTCCCCTTTTTATTTTTATGGTACCTGTTTTGCCTCTTACAGTCACAGCTCTGTAGCTCCTCTATAAATTGCATCAAACAGTGCCAGATACAGAAATACATAGCTTCTGCAATTACCTTCAAACTGCTGGCAAGTAAAATCGGATCAGTCTCTCCAAAAACTGAGTTCCTCCTCTTCAGTTTGAAGAGCCTGGACTAGTTGGGAGGAGATAGACATTTTACTCATGAGTTGTGCAGCCCAACACATCATATGACATGATTACCCCTCCTCCTCCCGAAACACTTCTGTCTCCACTTTGCACATGCATTGTGTCAAGCCAGCAGGTTCTAGTTCTAATTTCCAGCTTATTTTTCCAGACCACCCCTCTTATTGAAGCGTTTACACACTTCTCTGGATTTATCTCCCAACTCTTGCTCCCTTACTACATACTACCTCCGCACCATATTCCCATTGCCTAGCATCCACATCTCCAGCATGTTGCAAACTTGCTCTTCCCATGCAAGTCTTACAGTAAGGACCCAACTGTTAGAACAGGCAATTACCTGAGAAAATGCGCTTAGTTCCACTGTACAGCAAAATTTTCCAGACTTCATCATTGTGCCCCATCATAAGGGAACATCCAGCTTCTTTAACAGAGTGCAGTGTAAGATGCGAGCCTTCTTCATTTCCCCCCCCCACCACGTGATTCAATGATATGCAGGCAAACATTTGCTCACAGATAATTCCAGTGAAGCCAGTGCAGCTATGCTGTTAATTAAACAAAGCGTGTGTTTATGCGATACAAGTGCTACCCTGAAGCTTGCTCAGTGTAGAAACCATGTTTTGGCTTCAGTCTGCGTAGGAGGGTTTCATGACCTTTTAGATGGGAAAAAAAGGTCAGTGTTATTTCTAAGTAGTAGCCCTCTGCAGACTGATTTGCTGTGCATATTTTGAGACTGGTGAATCCTCAGCTCTGTATTGGTGTATGTGACAAGGTGTGTGCGTGTCCGCAAACCCATGTGTTTTCTACTATTCTGCTTTTCAGTTCTGTCTTTTCAGTGTCTTGTTTAACAACCTATCCTGGTGATTTTCAGACTTGAAAAACCTGAAAAATCCTGCCTTGTTTGACAGAGCATCTCAAAGTTTCAAAAGCATCCTAGATACCTAGTTATCACATTAAGCAGCATGATCCATTGCTAGTAGTTTCAAACATGGCTAATTGCTTTTGATGTTTACAACCATGTCTAATTAAGCAAGGGTTTGGTTTGTTTAATGGCAGGCCTATATTGTGCCACCCATGGCAGAGTAGTTTTTCCCTCCTCTCGCAATTACTTCCTTCTGTTTTGTGTGCTGCACTGGATTAAGATAGTTTCCAATTGTTTTGACCTTTAGAGGTCCACTGCTTTTTTTTTTTTTTTTTTTGCCTGATTTAAATTGAGACCTGTGAAAAGCATTTTGTCATGTGGTCCAAAATTAATTCCTGCTCTGAGTGTCCTGTAAGGGTTTGCAGGATTAGGGCCACAGTCATTGTTTCCTGCACAGACACTTTCTTATTAGCCAGCTTTTCATATAGTGAAGCACAGGGTTGTCTAGCTAGAAAGACATCCTTATAAGTAAGGCGTGTTTACCAAGGGTGGCGGTGGGGGAAGCTGCAGTTAAGATACAGATCACTACTTTACTTTCCCCATTCTGAAGTGTGTACTTTTAATCCATCTCCGACCGTTTTCATTCCCTGTCAAAAACGGTCTTTATGCTTTTCTCGATAGCTCTCTGTTAATCTAATGTTCAGTAATTTGTAAAGTTTGTGCTATATCATCAAAACAACATTAATGTTTCATACCATAAAAGCCACGGGTTAGAATCAGTTTTATGTCAGACCTATCATCCTTATATAGTTGTAAAGCCCTGACCTAAACTAAACTGGCATGATTTCTGGGATACCTTCTTTTAAAAGCAGGCCTAATAAAATTGACAAGTTCAATGTAGATAATATTTACCAAAATTGCAGTTACATGTTGTTAATCACCTGGATGAGCATTAGGATACTGACTTTTTGGTGAAGCCAGCTGGCAGTCCTTCTAAAGGAGTTGGGAAGCCTGCTCAACTGGAGAGTCTACAAAAAGAATACTTGGCTTAGCTGAGACTTTCTCTAAAGCCCTGCTGTGCTGTGCTGCTACACCAGCTGGAATCCCTTCATACAGCAGAACCTTGCTTATCTAGAACAATTTTGAGCTCGCAGTCCAGCTTCACGTAAGATTTCGGATGAGAAGTAGTTCTGGATCACGTCTGCTTCTCATACTAGATTTTGATATGACTAGAGGAGGGAGTGGATATTTCAGGCTTGATAGAAGGCTCTTTAGAAGACAGAAATAAAGATCACCTGCCACCCCCTACCCTTGCCACATTCTGCCTCTGCACCCCCATCACTGAGTGAATCGCCTTATCTTCCTACAGGCTGCTGCTGATACTCAGATGTGATGTCTCTTGATTCCAGGTCCTGCTTGTTCCAAGGCACTGGTGGCACTATGTGGAAGCCATTGACCCTGTCACTGTCAGCATAAACTCTTGGATTGAACTGGTATTTGTCTTTTTATTTCATGGTGACATAGCACTTCCATGTCTCTGTGTACTGTACAGAGTAGGAAACCCACCGAGTTGCACATAAATAATCCTGTCCCAGATCTGATGACCTCATGAGCCGCTTGAGTTGTTTTAATAGGGCTAAGCTTACATTTACATAGCATCTTTTATCCTCAGAGATCTCAGAACACTTTAGACTTGCATGTTCTACTAGCCTCATTTATCAGCCACCACTAAAACACAGCTATGTTTGACATTGGCACCTCCGAGTCAAGGTTTTTGCAAGAGAAAGTGGGAGAAGGAAAAGAAGCATCTCTAGTAAAAACATCGAAGGGAGCAGGAGCTGGGCACAGAAGTGATGTGAACTCATGCAGCATCTCCTGTTCAGCTACACTGAGCAAGAATCAAGGTGATGCATGTTGCCCCTTGCCTGCCAGGTTCAGCCCTACTGGCTTTGCTGTAGTCAGAGGCTGAGTAGGGAGGAGCCCTTACCTATGCAGTTTTTCCTGGAGAAACCTTTCAGAGCTTCCAGATCTGAAGCTGCAATTCAGCAAAAGTCGTGTTAAGTTTATCTCATTCAGGTGATCAGTTAAACACATGCTAAACTTTTCTTGTCTGACTTCTCATGGACTAACAGATATCGTGTTGAATAGTGTTTGACAAAACAGTTTCACCTCAAGCACATGCTTACATGCAATGCTTAGTCAGATTTAAATAAGTCAGATAAACATAATAGGAAGGGGGTGGCACCAGATGTTTGAATTCTTATTTCTCTGTGTGATAGTTTTGATTTTTTTTCCTGCTGATGTTACCCGGTATGAATGGGAACATTCCAGGGATATCATCTCAATGCCCTAGAAAGTTTTCTGATTCAGATTACTTCATCATGAGTCCTAGCTTGTTAAAAAATAAAGCTCTTGAAACAGCTTGTGAAAGATGCCTCACAAATATGCTACTGCGTTTTTTTGCCCTTTATTAGGCTGGAAATCTGCAGGGGGATTAATTCATCCCTTCAGCTGCTATTCAAACACTACACCAGACATTTCTCATCCCCTCAAACCAGGTGATTTCAGAGTAGACTTGCTTGGGTGTCTCACATGGATGAATCTTTCTAAATGCATAGTCTTACATGTAAGGACAGACTGTCAGAGCCCACACTGAGCTCTTACAGAGCCCTAAGAGTCAGACCACGTCCAATGCCAGAGTAAGCTCCAAGGATGTGACAGAGCAGCAATTGAAGCCTGCCTTAATTTTGATGCTCACACCGACATAAACTCACACCCTGAGCTGCATCTCATGAGTTATCCCCTTCTGAAGGAGCAGGTCAGGATTATGCTAGGCTGGTAATTCCCAAGTGGCTGCGTGCGTTGGCTCTAGCATTTCTTCCTGTTCTTCTGTGGGTTGTAAGGAGAGAAGGGGGACAGGGGAAGTGGAACTTAACTCTGTGGCCTTTCCAGGGAGAAAGGTCTTGCTAAGGTCACTGAGATCCTGTCTGGCCAGAGTAGGATCCGGTAGTTGTATGTAGATAGCGTTGGGAGCAGGAGAGTATTTTTTGGATCTTGCTGATGAGTGATCCAAAATTAAAAGCTGCTGTAAACAGGGAAAAAAGACTATGGCAAATAAATCAATTGCCTTGTGGCACTCGAGATAAACCTTAGAAAGGGAAGTACGTAATCACTGCAACCCAGATGAAAGTTCCTTACAGATATTACCCCTGCAGATTATGGTGGCACCATTGTTGGATGGTGGGTTATGCCATCTATAAAAGTAAATTCTAACATCATGCTGAAAGACAATATTGAGATTCCTTCCAATACCAAATCAAGCAGTTCTCTCACTTGCAGCTGTTACCAACTGCTTTCATACTGACAGATGTGAATCATGCCAACATTGATAGTCCTGGTGAAACTGTTAATTATTTGGGCAAGACTTTAGAGTAGAAGTTTAATTTGTTTTCAGCTGGATGTGAGCTATTCAGAGTACTCCTTGCTTCCTCACATACTCACACAGTCAGTGCAACCTTCTTACTCAGCAGGCCAGAATGAATCCCAGGAGTGCAACACCTTAAAAATAATCATTTCCGCATGCAGATTTTTAGTGTCTTGGGGGCCTGTTATGCAAGGCCATTAATGAGCAGGGCATCAAGAGCCACAAAAATGCTGAGAGTAGTTTCCCCCTGCTTCTAGCCCAGAATCTACTCCGAGATCCAGGATGAATTACTGCCTTCAGCACACATGCTAGCAAGATGCGTGGTTTGCTTGACATGTTCCCCAACGCCACAGTTAGGCGATTCAGGGCGGTCTGTTGACTAGGTTATGTCTTTCTCCCAAAAACCCGTGTGTCTAAGCACCTAAACAAGACCAGATTTATGTATCCACTCCTACGTGCCTGTCATTGACAATCACATGTCTTGTTTCGTCTCGTTGCCTCCTCTCTGCGTAGCCTTCCCTTCCACATACAAGAAATCCAGTTAAATGTGAAAGAAAAGCCTGAAAAAAAATCCGATCAAGTTTTGTTTTGCTGTCCTAAACTAGCTAGTACCCAGCTGCCTAATGGGATGATGCAAGTGAAGGCCTAAAACAGAGCTAATTACTGACTTAACTTTTGGTTCTGCAGAAGAGCTTTCATTAGAGGAAGCGTTTGTTTTTCCTTTTGTTGATGTTCAAGACTGCAGCAGTGTATCAGCTTCTTGGTGTCACATGATAATATATTTCCTGAATTTTCATAAGACTCACTTCTGTGCCTCCCTACCCCCCAGATATTTGCTGACTTGCTGTTAACATCCTTTGTATTTTAAGTACTTAAATTAGGCATAATATATAGATACATATAAAATTTGCTAAGTACTTTCATGGTCCTTCTAGTCCTAAGGAGCCATATAAATGCATATATTAATTAAATGCTAACATTGCATAGTAATTTGAAGCACTGGATTCAATTAACAGAACACTAATAAGGAAAAAGATTATATACACACTGGAATCTATTTTTTGCAAATCCTTATTCGGATGAGTAGTTGCACCAAAGCCTGTGCCGTGACTTACGTGAGGGCTGTACGCATGAATGAAGAGCTGCAAAAGCCCAAGGCCTTCACTGACTTTATATACATTAATATGGCTTTCAAAAGTAATGCTGTCCATTTAGTTCTTCCCATGATCTAGCTTTCTGCTGCAGAGACCTGAGTGCTACCCTGTCTCCAAACACTTTCTGTTCCTTTGAGGCAGGATGCAGACCACAAAGCCCGTGTAGAAGAAGCAATAACTCGAACGCTGGTGTGTGCCATAAAATCAGCAGAAAATCCCAGCGATGCAGATCTCTGGCTAAATCCCACCGAGGTAAGCCCTCTCTTGCTCCCATTTAGCAGTGATAGCATGGAGCTACTGCCGTTTTGCTTAACTCCCTGCGAGTCTTTCTACCCCTTGGAAAAAGAACGATTTTGAACTCCTTCCCTTCATGTAGCAAAAAGTAATTCAGGGAAGATAATCGTACAACAGGCAATTGAGGCACCTCCTTTTAACTGCATATGTTCTGGATGTTTTCTTAGGTTGAGGCAACATCCCATGACATCAATCTTCAGTACCTGAACAGTGCAGTGTCTGCATATTTCAAGTGTCAAAAGGAAAATGTGTCAGAGCAGACACATCCCAGCAGCATCGGTGCAGAGAAAACGCCAAGTGCCTCATGCAAGAAGAGGAAAAGGCAAGTTGACACTGAACCAGAGGGTTGCAAATTACTGACCCATGAAGCTGGCTTTTCAAGAGTTAAGGCAGAAAAGTTACAGAAAATATCTTTTGGGCCTCATCTTATTCAAGTTTTACCGCAGTCTCAAGAAACAAGCTCAATGGGTGCAGGAGCAGTTGAAAGTGACTATAGAGATCTTACCCATGAAAATGAAGGAGGACATTTTGGAAAATTACACTGCCCCAGGAAGCAATTGGTAATGAGTAATGACTGTGAAACGCCTGCAAATCAAATGGATTCAGACGGCAGTCCAAATGCCTCACAAACAGCCCTTTCTACCAATGATTTGCTGGACTGTTTGGTTAATCCACATGTCATCAGTTTAGTGGCTCAACTGCTGTTGGAGAGAACAAGAATTTAATGGTGGAGTGCTGTATCGTTTCTGAAATGAAGAAATCAAATGGTAGCCTTGTGCTAGGTTTTTAAGCTCAGTAACAATTGAATGTTTCACTTCTTTGTTTCAAAGATTCTTTAACTATAGACAGACGCAGCAGGGAAAATGCAGATGTATTGCAGATCTACAGCCCATTCTGGTTAACTGACAGAATGAAGCCGAGTTGAAAGAGGAATAACTTGTTAACGAGGAAGAGTAAGAGAAAGGAGTATGTGGTCCTAGAGTTCTTCAGTATTACAAGCAAAACAGCGTATCCAGCTATAACATAATTCCACTTTATTTTGTGGATGGGACCTTTGAAACATTCTACAGCTCTGAGCGTCAGCGAATCATCCACCACTCTGTGGACATTTTTATATTGAGAAGAGGGCACATACATGAACTAGGCAGAAAAGTGACTCAAACTGGGAGCCAGAGAGCACTCTCAGGTCCCCAGGCTGTGAACACACAAACTGGAGAGCTGGAGTGGAGGGAGGCAATCCAGCTGCACTGGGGCAGCCACACAGATGAGCAGGGTTTACATTGGAGGGGCTAGAAGCTGGTCTGCAATTCCTCCTGGATTAAACTTAAGTTGCCTGAAGAGTTTTTTTTTTTTTTTTGGCCCCCCCCCCCCCCATCCAGTAGTATGACACAAACACCGGTTCTTAGACTCAAAGTATCTTTTCTTAAAGCAGAGAATCCTACCAGCAGGAACTACACAGAGTGAAAGCAGCCCAGCTGTATTGTAAGGAGATACTGCAGCACCTAATGCTTTACAGCTGTGGTCAGAGTTGGAAAGCAGACTTGGAGCTGGATGTATTTAATCCATGTCTATATCCAAAAGTAAGAGACTTGATTCACCCCCACAGGCACAGGGACTGCAGTTTGCATCAGAATAGCTACACCCAAAGGGAAGATTCATCCCAGCAAGATGAGTACCCTGGGCCTCAGGGTGGGCAACCTAAATCCTGAGCCAGAAAAAGCATACAAGAGAAACACCGAACCCTGCATTTCTTCACACCCCTCTGCTGCCAAAGTGGGTTGGTTCCACCTAATAAGCTGAAAAAGCACTTTGGGGTCCTTGGACATTGCGCTTCCAAGGGCTGAGCCCTCATGAGTCAGTGGGGGAGCCACACTCATCTACCAGGACTTCTGCATTAACAAAGCACGGTGGCATCCCTGAGACAAGTATGGCTTGGCAATAGACTCGGGAAGGGGTGTTGAGACATGGTTACGTGGCAGAGAAGGACAAGGAGTTGGGGGGGAGGGGAAGTCTACTTACTGTAGACTGCAGTTCTCGAACACATTAGAAATAGCAAGTTCAAATAATCTTAACCCCAGCCAAGAGGTACTGTACCCACTAATGCATCTACTTCCTGCCTTCCACAAAACGTTTGAGAAACACTTGAACTTGCGAGACAGAAGGCCATCAGGAAGTGACTGTTAAGATTTACTTTTTAAGCCAAATATGCACAGTTCTCTACCTCTAAGGTAGAGAACTAAGCAGTTGTTCCATGACTTTATAGACTGTCCTACTCTACTAGAGCAATCAACATTTAACTATTTTTTTTTTCCCTTTTAAGTGAAGATAATTAGAGTTGCTGCACAAGATCATCCTTTTAAAGTGCAATAGTCCCTAGATTTGTTTTTGAAGGCTGGGTGGTCCTTTGATTGAAAGGCTACAGAACTTGGAAATATAGGTAAGAAGATAGGTTGAGCCAGAAGCTATACATGAAAACTGGGGAGAAACTGGAAAGACACAGAATACTTCTTTCCACTATGAATTCAAGTTAATCCTCTTCCAAAAATGAAGATGTATTAAAAAATGGGCTTTACATCACCCTTCAACTTAGCAATTTTTTCTTCCCCCCCCACGCCGGTTTCTGTCATTATCCTGTACTCAAATTCATAAGTTCACACCACTAACCTTCTAGCTGGCAATTCCTTCACCTTGTGTCTATTCTCTGCTAGATATGTCAAGATGGTACCATTTTTACAAAGGTCACTTTTCAGCTATTTATAGTTAAGAAAATCATAAAGGCAAAGGTGCTTTCCCTCTGCTTTTGTATAGCTTGCAGGTTGGCAGATCCCTAATGGAAAACACTGAATGCTCTAAATATGTAGACGGTTAGCAGCAAACAGGTCAGAAATCCAGAAATCCGTTCACTTTTGAAAAAAATGCAAATATACTTAGAACAGGATTAAGTTGAAAAAGTTCACGTTTAACCAGCATGGAAACCTCATCCTGAGGAGTCCTTTCAGAAGCAGCCACTCCAGTTACTGCATATAGATAGGAACTGCAGGATTTGGCTCTCGCTTCTCTGGCCAGCTTAGGAGGAATGAGTAAATATAAAGTTATATCGAGTTTGCTGGGGAACTTCACTTTGAAAGAAAGCAACTATAAATTAGTAGTGGATGGGCCTTAGCAGCTCTGTGTGACTCAGATGTGTGCAGTTTCAAGTTTTATCAAATGTCCTGCTCTACCCACTTAATTGGGCTCAGACCCCAATGACACCGATGTATCATTGTCAGTAACAAAGAACCTGCAGGGAAAATGTGATTCGTAGCTGCATCTGAGAATCCACGTTTTTCATGTCTTACTCTCATGTTAATATGCCAAGCAGTCTCAATGGGGTTGCACCAGTGCAACAATACCAGAATTTAACAAACAGTCCCGTTGGCGTAGTTTATTTTCATGTTTTTGTGTCCTGCTGTGCTAACAGGATTAAAAAAAAAAAAGTCAGCTAAAGAACATTTTAGTCACATCTGCTGACTTAGTGATTCACCAGGCTCCTGGGGGGCAGATCTGCAGAATAAGGCAACACTGTTTTGATACATTGGCATATCTAAGAACAGCGCTTTAATGACAGTCCACTTTTGTCCTATTGCTACATTTTTTTTTCTGAGGCTGACCATAGGGGCTGGGCCCAGCCAGAGTGCTGCTGCTGGGAACATTTGCACTAGAGAAGAGATTATAAATGTTTCATTCTAGCACACTGAGCACAAAAAGAAATCTCAAAAAAAAGGTTTTATACCTAGAAAAGGTGAGGGAAGAAAAGCACAGGCAATAAAAGGAGGTAGATGGCAACACTGACTTCCATCCTGCAAAACAAGCTTCCTTAGCTTAATTTTTCCTCCCAAAGTGGAGATCACTTTAACATAACCCCACAATTCCCCCATGAACCTATACTGAACATTTTCTCTCTTTATGTTTACAAGGGCCATCCTTGAAAAGACTTACTGAATATTTTTAAGCCCTTAGCAGGACTTGCCACCAGTAGGCAGATGCTCTGTTATCTGCACAGGAGAACCTGCCTCAGAGAGGCTTGGTGTAGCAGGAGACACCATTATCCCCAGGCTGAATTGTGCGTATTTAGAGACACATCACTCACTGCTCTAAACAAATACGGTCCATCTGGGGAGAGTTGTACTTTATGCCTGTCCAGGTGCAGCCCATGATTTAAGGACCAGGCTGTTGCCAGAAACCATTAGCAAGGGAGACCAGAGGAGAAATCCAGCCCGTTTATGATGCTGGGCAAAAGCACCAGAAGGACTTTGCGTCTCAGAGGCACAATATAAAAATCAGTGTCATACACACAGCGCGCGCAGGTAGAGAGAGAAATGACTGCAAATTTAGAAAGTCACATATGGCAAATGGCCCACAGACCAATAACAGAAATTTATAGCTCTGACTCGATTCTCAGGGTACTGAGCACTGATTTCTGACTCTGTTTCTAAATTCATGGCCACTGCATGGAGAAGCTTGGACAAGTTTCTGCATATTCATTGTGTTTAAAATAAAAGATTTCTGACCTCTTCGGTGACAACCCAGTGTGACAAAGAGTAAGAAACTCAGTCATTGAGAAAGCTGCTTTTCTTTGCAATCACTAGAAGGCACCCACCCTTTCTCCAAAAGGGTATTCCCTGCTCACCTTCAGCAATGGGCACATCAGCGTTTGAGAAGATCATGGCCTGGAAACACCACCAGGAAAGATACTCTAGTGACACATTCTTCATCTCTGCTTTGGCCAAGTGGAACAAGAGATTGTCACCACGTGGCTGAACGATGAAGTCAAAGCCGTGCTTAAACCAGTCCAAGTGGTGGCCTGGACTAGCGTGTGCTCATTTCCACACCTGCCCAGTCAGTCCCATACACCTGATGAAGAGCCTGGGTCTTCCCTACCCTAAAATCAAGTTTACAGAGTGGTTGGCGGGCAAGGAGCTCCTCACCATCCCTGACCACAGCCCTCACCTAGAGGTCTGGACTTTCCTAGCTTGTCTTACACACCTCCCCCCCCCCCAAAAAAAATAGAGGGGCACAAGGAAGGAAAAACCTAAATAATGATGCCTCTTAGAGTTTTAGTCTGTCACCAAAAACATTTCTGTATTAGAGAGGCAGCTTAAGTGACATTTTATTTCATGGCATTAATTCCTAACATTTCAATTTTTTTCCATCTTTCAAGACTTCTGCTCTAGCAATACTTACCTGGTGTCACACAGCAATCAAATTGAAGAGCAATAGCTTATGTAATGATACTAGTTAAAACTCCAGCTCGTGGCTAACACTATAACAAACTTAGCATATTGAAGAGGCAGGATGAATCCTTATCCAGTGCAAATTGCCTTTTAAAAATAAGGCAGTGCTACAAATCAGTACTTCTGACCTACTAGTAAACTTCTTGCTCTATTTCTCACCTACAGATGTGAACTATTTAGCTTTATGGTGTTGGCAGACTTTCTCTTAGGTGGCATTTTCCGACCGTTCTAGTATTAATACAACAGAAGCTGACAGGAGAAGACCATTGCAAGTGCATGGCCCAATTTCATCGCCCATTTCATCTGAAAGGGTGTGGAAAAGAACGTTAGTTGTTCTGCACTGCACTGTTTTCTGGGTGAGGGGAGGCTGATCCCACAGCCGGGTGTGTTGAATAGTTAAACAGTTTGCTGCTCCAAGGGTGGACTTTGCTGTGCTGGCACAAGGGGCAGCAGGAGGGACAGCCGCTCTGCTCCGTTTAACAAGCCACAGATCTAGGAGCTGCATTTCTAGAGATTTTCCAAGTGGATGCTCCACTAGACATTTATTTGTCCATCTAATTGGTGATGTTTGTCTGTCTGAAAGGGTAACTGGGAGCTAAAAACTCTGGTCATCTTAGGACAGTCCATTTGGCGGGACTCCTGCATCCAGGGCTTGGGAACACCGTACAGTTGTGGGGACCAGGCACTGTGGGTCAGGGCAGGAAAGGAGGACTCTTGCAGAAGTCCCACCACAGAAAGCTTGGAGGCCCTGGGAAGTCAAGCAGAAAGCTCTTCATCTCCCCAGTGCCTTGATGCTGAGGGGCCCGGGGAGACCCTGCAGCTATTAGGGGTGTATCCCACAAACCAGAAGCCTTCCTCTTCCACAAAATCTTAACATGCATCACAGCAGTCCTGGCCTTGTGTTATTTACCTATTTACAAAGGCAATACAATGGAAAACGCTCTGCTAGCTCCCTGCTCAGCAGCATGCATCTGCTCAGTAAAATCTAGCATACGTTTTGGGGCATAAACTTTTCTTCTTCCAAAGCACTGGCAAGATCATCCCAGCAAGGACTTTGATTCCTCCGAGACGACC